CCGCCGCTAGCGCCCAGACCGGGGACCTTGGGGAGAACGGGCTCCCAGAGTGCCTTGGGACTGGTCGCTCTCTAAGTGCCGCGGGCGGGTCGCGTGGCGCTGGCCTTGCCAGTACTGAGGACCTGCGGGCTGGGCTGTACAGAACTGCGGCGATGTGGTGCGGCAACGGGCGCCTCGGGGTGCGTTTCGGCTGCCTGTGCAGCAGTGTCTGGGCCAGAGCACCGGCCCGCCGCCTGCGCTGGACCGGCTGCATCGACCGTAAGGACCTCCGTGCGTGAGGGGACAGTGGGAAACAGGTGTCTTGGACTCGGGAGGGCGTAAGTGAGGGGCCGCGGTCTCTCCGCTCCGTCCTGTCTGCCCGCAGGGTTCGGTCACCCTGGAACGCTTTCTTCGCTCCATCCTCTCACCCCGCACTCCCTGCCCTGTCCTGCCCCACGGGGCCCTCTCCTAGCTGGGTCAGGTCATCCCGAGACTCAACCGGCTCCATCCAGTCACCCCAGACTCTACTGTCAAGCCGGTACCCGCTACTGGTTCATCCGGTGCTTAAGAGAAGTTAAGGAACTTGTGTGTTTGTTGTGTATTGAAATATCCCAGTAGGTTCTAAAGGTAGTGAGAATGTAAGAAGCTGGGTGCTCCAGGTAATACACGATTTTTTGTAACTTAATGCCTGCAGATATAAAACATGTATTGGTGAATCTCTTGCAGGACAAATACTGCAATTTCTCGGGGTTTGTGGTGTGACTTCAAACATTGAGACACTTTTTCACTTTTTAAAAGAAAAATCTATATTCTTAGAAGTTTTATTTCAATTTTTTTATGTGTATTTCTCGGTGAATATTCTGAGAATTTGTGAAACTCAGATATATTTAGAATTCAGGCGGGTGACCAGAATAATTCTTAGTTTTATGATTTACCTGGAAAACTGACCAATATTTTCAGAATAAGTATGTGAAAGTCTTTCCACTAGGCCATAAGTTCAACAGTAATATAAACCACATCTGTCTGATTCTATATTTTCTAGATTGATATCTACATATAACATATGCAATGAAATTTGCTTAATAGAGGAGTGAATTTTCGTTGCTATTAAAGTTTTAAGTAGTCAAGGGAAAGGAAGTTGTCTACTTGTATATTTAATGTATCAAACTTGTTGGTGGACTGGAGATTTAACTTAGTGGTAGAGCGTTTGCCTCCACTTGAGGCCTGAGGTTCATTCCCTAGTACTGCAAGAAATAAAGCTAATTGATGGTAAACACAACATGTAATTGTTGATTAACATTCGTAATTATTTCATTGCCTATTTTAATGTTAAGTAATTTTTGAATTAAGATTTTTCTTCTATGTCATGTATATTTGTTATTATGTATAATTTGTCTTATAGGTAGGGAATTTGCTCACTATCTAATAGGAATGCATTTTACAGTGGCCTAACGGAGGCTCTAAGATGTTCCTCCCTAATGTACTGAAAGTTGCACATTTAATTATTTCAGAATCAGAGGTGAAAATCTTGATTACTTGTCCATTGCTCTTGCATTACAGTTTTCTATGACTGTGAAGCGTTGTTTCAACACCAAGATTCTCAGTTAGAACTCAGTTCTTTAGTTAATTTTCTTTCTTGGGTGCATTTAAAAATGCTTATATTATTCACAAGTTCGTGAAATTTGCTTTGTGTTTACACTTCAGTTGCTATAGTCTTTCCTCTTCTCACTTTTTCTGTTTTCCTAGGCAGCTTTGCCTTTTTAATATGTGTATGTTGCCGCCTTGAATTCTGCCAGTGACTCTGGGCAAGTTCACGCCCTGTTGTTATTTTTTTTTTTTTTTTTTTTTTTTTTTTTTTTTTTTTTTTTTTGGTACCAGGGGATCGAACTTGGGACCTTGTACTTGCGAGGCAGGCAGCAGAACCACTGAACTAAATCCCCGGCCCTGATTAGCTTTTATAGTGCATTTTTTCTGTCAATTTAAATGTTTTAGTCACCATGCCTTGATTGTTTGAACTATTTAGGAAGTAGTTATTTACTCCATTAAATGAGAGAAAGATGAAGTATTCTTAATATTTATTGAGATCAGTTTAAAAGTCTACAGCACTTCATTTTATATATGATATTTGCATTATTAGCAGTTATGTAATCCTTTTTGTGATTGAACTATTCATCTTTTGTAACCCCAGCTATGCTACATAGTAGATGCTCAATAAATATTAATTTTTTTGAGCAATATGTTTACTGTGCATTTATTTATTTAGTACTTCTTTGATTATTTATTGGCATTGTTGGAAATCAAACCCAGGGCAAGCAGTGTACCACTGAGTTGCATCCCCAGCTCAATAAATATATTTTTTGGAGTGATCTTTGAGCTACAATCCATAGCGGTGTTTGTGCAGTTGCATGAAAAAATGTAATCATTGTGTACTGCAAACATTCACTACTTTTAAAAAATGACCTGTACCCCCCAGTCAGGGACTCATGGATTGTTTTTCCCTAATCATCTTCCTAAAATAGGTTTCTGCCCTGGGCTTCTTCAGAAAGCCTAACTTTGCATCCTCACAACTCATTTCTGAGTTTCCCTTTTGAATGAATGGTATCCAGGTTTGCCCCAGAGAGGCAGATGCTGCCACATGCACTTGTGTTCTGTAAAGACTATGCATCACTAGTAGGCACTTAGGTAAATTGTTGTCTAGTGTAGCTTCATAGTCTTCGTTAGTGCTCATTTGTTAGTAAATGACCAGTGTTTCATATTGAAAGATGATACTTTAGAAAGTAATACAAGGATGGAACTAGAGGTCATCATGTTAAGCAAGCTAAGCTAAACTCAGACAAGTATCACGTATTTTTCCAAATATACGGAGTCTAAAAAAGATGACATGAATGGAGGAAAGAAACTATTATTACAAAAAAAGAAAGGAATAGAGTAGGGTGATGTAAAAAGGAAGGTAAGAGAGATTGGTATGAATTTATTGAAGTGTGAAAGTAGCAGGTTACAAAACAATATGTGTGGCATTGTTTTATTTTAAAAATACACTGATATAAAGAGATAAGAAATCATCTATAATGGTGTTAATTAATGTGTTTTATTTCTCTGGGAGAGAGATGCTAAGCACATTTTTCTTTTTAAAAGCATTTTTTGACTTGTGCTATTATAAAATATTTCTAAGTGGAGGAAATTAACAATTGCTGTTCTATATAAGAGTAGGAGGTTATGTTAGCTTGATTGTAGTATTTCGGGTTGATAGCCTGACCCACCAGTTAGTTATCAGGTGATGCCTGCTTGCCTGATGATGGTACAGGAGAGGATGAAAGAATAATATACAAAAAACAAGGAATAAAGAATAATAAACAATAGTTTATTACTGGAGGGCATGGAATTGATCTAAGCTCTATCTTGGCTGAGACCGTGGACTCTGCATTACTCAGTATTTATGATTGTACAACAGCAAGGATGCATGAAGGCAGATGTAGTCAATAGCAGACTAATATACTAATGAGCCAGGCCTTAAAAAGGGAGTAACTATTTGTTCTTGTGAAGGATGGGTCACAGTTAACAAGCTACCTGTGCTATCTTGCAGATCATAGCTAACAAGCCACCTGCGTTATCTTTAGTTAACATTTGATCTTGGAGAAGGGCTTCACAGAGTCATAATTCCTCAGCTGCAATGTTTCTTTCCTATTAGAGACATCACAACCTCATTGATCATTGAGACCTAAGGTCACTGAGCAATTCACCCTTAGGCCTTGGAATGACTCATCATTTTAATCAGTGGCTGAATTCATAAGCCAATTCAGTAATATCTAAAGCCTGCTCAGTGCAGTTTTAAGATGGTCTCCTACAGTAGTAATCATATATATAAATATATATATATACACATACATACACACACACACACACACACACACACACACACACACACAAGTACATGCCCCAAGCCCTGCATATCCTCTTTCTCCTTTCATTTTCCCAACCACTACTGTACTACAAGGTTTCATTGTGCCTTCAAGTATAGACATAGACTCCTTTTAGTTTCTCTTAGCACATCTGAAATAGGTGATTCTTTCACAACAAAAGAAAATTGCTAACAATGTAGGTCTCATTGTCCCTTTGCAAATTTCTGGTCCTATTCCCATGTGCTGGTTCCAAATTTGTAATCCTCTTATTTTCAAAATTCTCCACATAAGTCCCAAAGGTCACTTTTCTAGAGGAGTCTTGTCAATATATCCTTTACTTTTTAGCTTTTGTATATATAGAGGAATCTGGATTATCTTGCAAAATATGGAAAATATTTTAGGCCTTATTTAACTACTCAGCAACTCTGCTTTCCAATTCAGTTCTATCTTACTCTATGCAGTCTTTGAGAAAGCTATAAAAACTAAATTCTACGATTATGCCACTAGGGGATCAGGTTATTTTAAGAAAATTTTAATGATACTCTGAGATGAGTAGTCACCTTTTCATGAAGATAGGAAGAGATTTCTTTTTCCCATTATCTCCTTTGATGAAATACATTGTGGTCTTAAGTTTTATGTCTCTTTCTTTTTTAATTTTTTGTTTGTTTGTTTGTTTTGTTTTTGATACCAGAGATTTAACTCGGGTCCTTGTGCTTGCCAGAAGGCAGGCAACAGAACCACTGAGCTAAATCCCTGGCCCTTATGTTTCTTTCTTTCATCATCAGTGTTTTCCATGAATGTCTGATTAATATAGGCCAAATGCCTAGCCCTATTGTTTGACCTTTTTCTTAGTTGGAAGGTTCGCCAAATTAGGCTTATGGTGATTTTTCAATTGATACTGTAAAGTTAATATGTTCATGAAAAGAGACAGCTATAGCCAGGTGTATGGCTTGTGTTTAGATGTCCTCCCTCATGTGGTCTTAGGACTTTTTCAGAGGTGTTTGAATCTAAAGTGTGTGTGGGATTGATTCGTGGTACAGTGCTAGGCCTAAGGGCTAGGCCTTAACAGTGAGAGTACTACCCACTCTAAGTAGTCTGAAGATAAAAGGGGCAGGAAGACGCTGTTAAGGTCCCTTGTTGCTTTTACTACCATGTGAGCCTCATGAACTATTATTCTTCTCTGGGATGCCCCTCTCCCATGTGCCAGTCTGTCTTGGAGCCAGTCATCTATAGACTGGAATGGCTACTTACTGTAAACCTTTCCTCTTTCAACTTTGAGTATTTGGTATTTTGTCTCAGCAGTGAGAAAAGTAACTAAGACACCAGGTATCCTATTTTACACAGGTAAGCATAAGATAGGATACCAGTGCAGAAAAAAAGATGTTTATTGTAATTTGAGTAACATTATGTATTCTACCCCCAACAACCTTTGTCTTTCTTTCATGCTGGGTGTGGAACCCAGGGCCTTGTACATGCTCAACCACTGAGTTACATGCCCAACTCTTCTTTTCTGTTTGTTTTTTAATGTGGATTTATGAGGAGGAAAATAAATATTTTTTTAAAAATAGGTAGTAGGCAAATTAAGTCATCCAATCCATTTGGAAATAAAGGAGGGAGGAAAATAGTGGTGCTAATTGGCAGTATCTTTACCCATCCTGTTCTTCCCACTCTGATCCTATTTCTCCTCATTTTTTTCACTATGGCCTCTGCCAGTTTAGAGCTACAACTGTATTTCACTAAGTGGTGGAGAGATGTCTGAGAAGTCACTGTGTACTGTCCCTTCTTCACATGAGAAACTGCTTAGAGATGGATGATGCATACTCTGGCTGTTAAAGGCCCAACTTTGTGTGGGAAATGTTACAGTTGGTCCACTGTCTCTGCTTCATGGAGCTGCTTATTGGTCCTCCTTTCTGACACCTGTTGTAGATTTGAACATATACAATCTTGCCCACAGCTTCCATGGGACTAAATGAGGAACAGAAAGAGTTTCAAAAAGTGGCTTTTGACTTTGCTGCCCAGGAGATGGCTCCAAATATGGCAGAGTGGGACCAGAAGGTAAGAGTTTTCCTTCTGGCTAGATGTCCCTACAGATGTTGTACAAAATGATCCTTACTATCATCTCTTTATAATCCTAATTGCTCAGTATCTATCTTCTTCTCAACACTTAACTATAGGAGAGAGGACTTGTAATGGGTTATTCCTTGCATAGAAGACATCCTGACCATAAGATACCTTTTTTCTTTTTAATTGAACAAAAATTTGGACATACTTCAAACCAGTGTAATTCTATAAGTATTTAAAAATGAAAACAAGTCAGGCATGGTGACTTAGGCCTATAATGCAAGCACTTCGTGAGACTAAGGCAGGAGGGTCACAAATTCAAGTCCAACCTAGGCAACTTAGTGAGACTCTGCCTCAAAAAGAAAAAAGAATCCAGGGGTACTGTACAACTAAGAAACATTCCTAGCCCTTTTCACTTTTTATTTTGAGAAAGGGTCTCACTGTGTTATCCAGGCTAGCGTTGATCTTGTGTACCTCCTGTCTCAGTCTCCTGAGCAGCTGCGATTACAGGTATATGCCACCATGCCTGGTGAAAGAAACTTACAACACCAGGAAAATAACTTAGAGAGCACATATCGACTGACACCTATGAGATGACAGAAACATTAAGAGAATCCCTTTGCTCTTCCAAATGCAAATATCCTGACCCCCTCACTGTATTCTCTAAAGGCAAGTCCATCTCTAAAATAGTTACTGATAATTCTACTCTCCTTTTTGCACATAGGAACTGTTCCCTGTGGAAATGTTGCGAAAGGCAGCGCAGCTAGGCTTTGGGGGAGTCTATGTTCAAACAGATGTTGGTGGGTCTGGACTGTCACGCCTTGATACCTCTGTCATCTTTGAAGCCTTGGCTACAGGCTGTACCAGTACCACAGCCTACATAAGCATCCACAAGTGAGTGCCCAAGCTGGGACAGCACAAGGTAGTGTTCACATGGCTTGACTGGAACATTTCAGATTCATATGGAAAAGACTTACCATGTCCGGTGGGTTGTCCTGGAGGAATTATATACTGTTAATAGTACTTGGACTTGATTTTGCGGTCTTTGTACATTGTTTGGAGAATCAGGTTGGCTTCTCCTGTAGAGTAGTCAGAGTCCTGTCACCCCTTCCTGTCACCCTTCTGCAGATGAAACCTCTAGTAATTTGAGAAAATATGTATAACTGATTTTTAGGTATTCATTTAACCTAATTACAAGTAGTATTAGAATCCAGGTGAGAAATACTTTGGCCCTGCTTATCTCTGAGTATGATGTATTCCAGGAATATGTTTTAATTCATTCCTTTCCTTTAAAATTGAATCTTCTCAGTTGTGACTTTTCCCTTCTCATTCTCTCTCTGCTTTACTCTGTTCTGCTGTCCTTTGTTTTCTTTCCCCACCACTCTCCATTTCCTTTTCCTTTCTATCTTTAACCGTGTCAATGTCTTTGCTTGCTGTACCAATCAGCATGTGTGCTTGGATAATTGATCGCTTTGGAACTGAGGAACAGAGGCACAAATTTTGCCCACCGCTTTGTACTATGGAGAAGTTTGCCTCATACTGCCTCACTGAACCAGGTGGGTTTGTCATGCTGCAGGTGAGATCTAATAAAGAGAATGATATAACTCAGGTATAACCACTGAGCCTTCCTTGCTACCCTTTGATATGCAGAGATACTGTTTGGAAAGCAGTTTGGCTGGGTGTAGTGGCGCACTCCTGCAATCCCAGCACTTGGGAGGCTGAGGCAGGAGGATTGCTGTGAGTTCGAGACCAACCTGGGCTACACAGTTCTAGGTCAGTCTCAACTACATAGTGAGACCCTGTCTCAAATAACCAAAAAAAAAAAAAAAAGCAGTTTGGTCATAGATTAATGAGAGTCTCATAACCTGAGGCCACAGGACCCAGAAACCTTTAGGTCAGAGTCTCTGTCAGGTGCAGACCAGACCTACTCACAAGTGACTCACTGCAGGCTGGTGTGCTGGGAAAGCCACAGTGGTCTGCTTGGTGCAAGCAGTTTTCACAAAGTGCAAAGAATTCCTTTGGCCATATGGATTTTAAAGTTGTGCATGCTGGAACCCTGTTGGACTCCCTTAACTTCACTGACTTCTTCACACCCTTTTAATCCCTGCCTCAGGAAGTGGGAGTGATGCTGCATCTCTTTTGACCTCTGCTAAACTACAAGGAGATCATTACATCCTCAATGGTTCCAAGGTACCTGCATGCTGTTTTCCCAGAGCAAATTGAGGGTTGTTCCCACCTGGCTCCTGACATCCCTTATTTCCTTGAGTCTGTAAGTTAGTATCCCCATAAGATTTTTATGTGTTGGGAAGAGAACCTCTTGACCCATTTCCCTTTATCACCTCACTGTTTATCTCTTCTGATCTGATTCCTGATAATTTCTTTGATTTTATTTATTTTTTCTATATTCTTAACTTGTTCTTTAGTCGCTGCAGTTACCTGCTATCCCACCTCAGTTTCCATATTGTACTTTGTGTGTCATATTGTTAGGGGGACTCACGTGTTTTCCCAGAATTGGAAACTGGTCAGAACTGACAGTTCCTTGACACACACATGCTCCACACTGGTTTCTAACACCACAGGCCTTCATCAGTGGGGGTGGTGAATCAGACATCTACGTGGTCATGTGCCGAACTGGAGGACCAGGCCCCAAAGGCATCTCCTGCATAGTTGTTGAGAAGGGGACCCCTGGCCTCTGCTTTGGCAAGAAGGAGAAAAAGGTAAGTAGCTGTGGGATAAGAAACAGTTCAAGATGTGAGGCTCTGCCACCTGCCACTGAGCACCTATACTGTTTCACAAAATAGGCTTCATGAACTGTTTGTGATCTGACTTTAAAGCAGTTGTTTCTGTTATGATTTTCAACAGGAGCCTAGGGCATTGCTAGCACATCAGGCTTCTGGGGAAAGGAACAAAGTTTTCCAGTAAGCTTCACAAACTGCCTGTTATTTGAGTTTTGCCACCTCTCTACTCTACATCTACTTTTGCCCCGCATTTCTCATCTAGCTGCTGCTTTGTTGTACTTTATCTCAAGAGGAGATAGCTATAGAAGATCTGATGCTGAGTAGAGGACTCAGGAATGAAAAGCATAGAGTCCACTTTTATTTCAACAAAAATAGAGTAAAACTCAATGAGGGGATTGTGAGTATTTCAGTAATCTGAGGAGGACAGTATTTCCATAGGTATTTCCACTCTGAAAAACAAGGCATTTATAGGATTATGATTTCTGAATCTGTGGTAATATAACTGTAGTTGTCAGTAAGGCTGAAACTCAGATTGTTTTAAAACTAGGTAATCAAAACAATCTTCCTCCAGTTGGTACTGTTATTATTAGGACTTTTGGGAAAAAGATAATGAAATTAACCTCAGATATACCTCTCATATCTTCTAGTGTTTCTGTATTTTCTTTCATGATGCTTCCTGACCATTTGTAACTGCCAAGGAGTTATAAGTCCTAGCCCCATATTTGTAAAATAATATGCATTTACAAGGTACACAGGCATTCACTGTGGGCAAAGCCTTTTGCTAGCTCTATGGAACAAAAATATTATTTCTTAAGATGTCGAGGATCAAAGTCAAGGCCTTGTGTATGTTAGGCAAGTGTTCTACCACTAAACATGGGAGTGCAAAATTGTTAGAGTCACCTATGGGGGTATTTTGAATTATAAAACATGCTGTTTTATATATGTAAACTCTGTGATATATAAGATATGTAGCTATTGGGTTTTTTAATCCTGGAAATGTTTGTCTTGGATTACAAAAAAAAGACACACAAAACTGACTTATATAGCCTGGCACAGTTTTACAGAATCACGTTATACTGGTGTATTTGTTTTTATAAAGAGAATGACATTATTTTATTTTTTTATTTTTTTCCTTTTATTGAGTTTATTGGTACCTTTTAGGGATACAGTACAGTTACATTCATTATTGGGATCTTGTACCTTTACATGACAGGTGGTCTTCGTTCTCATTTTTCCCCTTGTCCCTGCCCTCCCTTCACCTTCTCTTCCCCTCTCCATTTACAAACACTTTATTTCCATCTTTTCATTTTCTCATATTTTTTTCTATATTACCTTTCCCCTACCCTTCCCACTTTCCCTACACCTTTAGCCCTTTTCTTCCCATTTCAAAATGTCAGTTATCTCATTAGGCTCTTATGTACTATTACAGTTTATTCACACCAGAGAAACTATTCAGTGTTTACACATGTGTGACTTATTTATTTCACTTAGGAGTATATCCTCAATATGTATCCATTTTCCTATGAATGAGTCTAATTTCTCATTCTTTATGGCTAAAGAGTATTCCATTTTATAGAGAAACCACATCTTCTTTTTTTTCTTTTGGTACCGGGGATTGAACTCAGGTCCTTGTGCTTGCAAGGCAGGCCTCCGAACTGCTGAGCTAAATCCCCGGCCCTGAAACCACAATCTTCTTTATCCAGTCTCCAACTGATAAGCAAATGGGCTGTTTCCAAGTTTTAGCTATTACAAACTGTGCCGCTATAAACATGGGTGTGCGTATATCACTCTGGTATGATTCTTTGAATTCTTTTGGAAAGATACCCAGAAGAGGGATGGCTGGGTCCACTGGAACCTCTAGGCCCAGTTCTTTGAAGTATCTCCATATTGATTTCCATAGTGGTTGCACCAGCCTGCACTCCCACCAACAATGGAGAAGGGTTGCTTTCTCCCACAACCCTGCCAACATTTGTTACTGGTTGATTTCTTGATAGCAGCCATTCTTTGTGGGATGAGGTGGAATCTCAGTGTTGTTTTCATCTGCATCTCTCGAATGACCAGTGATGTTTTTTCATATATTTACTTGCTGCTTTTACTCCTTCATCTGAGAAATGTCTGTTCATTTCAGATGCCCATTTTTGAATTGTGTCTTTATATTTGGGGGTGCTGGTTGTTTTGAGTTCTTTATATATTCTAGGTAATAGTCCTTTGTCTGAGGAGCAGCTGGTAAAAATTTTTTCCCACATTGTAGGTTGTCTCTTAGTTCTGTTGGTGGTTTCTTTTTCAGTGCAGAAGCTTTTTAATAAGATGAGATCCCAGTTGTTGATTCTTTCTGCTATTTCCCATGCTAATGAGGATTTATTCATAAAGTCTTTTCCTATGCCAATGTCTTCAAGAGTTCTGTCTAACTTATCTTCCAGCAAGTTTAGTGTTTCTGTTTTAATATTTAGATCTTTAATCCACTTGAATTTTAATTTAGTGCATGGCGAAAGATAAGGGTCTAGTTTTAATCTTCGGCAGGTTGAGATCCAGTTTTTCCAACACCATTTATTGACGAGGCCATCCTTCCTCCAGTGGGCATGGTCAGCTCCTTTGTGAAAGATGAGGTAGCTGAGTACATCTAGAGTTGTTTTTGTGTCTTCCAATCTGTTCCACTGATCCTCAGGTCTGTTCCTTTGCCAGTAGCATGCTATTTTTATCACAGTGGCTTTGTAGTATAGTTTCAAATTGGGAATTGTTATACCCGCTCCATGTCTCTGTTGCCTAGGATGACTTTTGCTATTTTAGGTCTCTTATGGTTCCAAATGAATTTTTGGATTCTTTTTTCTAGTTCTGTGAAATACAGTTTTGGAATTTCAGCTAGCATTGCATTGAATCTGTATAGCACTTTTGGTAGTATGGCCATTTTCACTATGTTGATTCTTCCTACCCAGGAGCAGGGAATATCTTTCCATTTTCTTATATCCTCTTGGATCTCTTTTTTCATAGTGCTATAGTTTTCAGTGTAGAGGTCTTTTGCTTCTTTTGTTAGATTGATTCCTAGATACTTCATTTTTTTGGGTGCTATTGTAAAAGGAATTGTTTCCCTAATTTCTTTCTTAGTGAGTCTTTCATTTATGTACAAGAAGGCTATTGATTTTTGGGTGTTGACCTTGTATCCACCTACTCTGCTAAAAGTGTTGATTAAATCTAGAAGTCTTGTTTTTGCTTTTTGGTACTGGGGATTGCTCTTGGGACCTTGCGTTTACAAGGCAGATGGCAGAACCACTGAGCTAAATCCCCAGCCCAAGTCTAGAAATCTTTTGGTGGAGTTTTTTGGGTCTTCAATGTAGAGTATCATATCGTCAGCAAATAATGACAGTTTAACTTCTTCCTGTCCTATCTTTATTGCTTTAATTTCTTTCTCTTGTCTAATTGTGATGGCTAATGTTTCTAGAACTATATCGAAGAGGAGTGGTGATAGTGGGCATCCTTGTCTTGTTCCTGATTTTAACGTGAAGGATTTCAGTTTTTGGCCATTTAATATGATGTTGGCTCTTGGTTTTTCATAGATAGCCTTTATTAAATTGAGATATAGACCACCTATTCCAATTTTTTGCAGGTTTTTAATTATGAATGGGTATTGAATTTTGTCAAATGCTTTTTCTGCATCTATCAAGAGGATCATATGGTTTTTGTCCTTGACTCTGTTAATATAGTGTATTACATTTATTGACTTACATATGTTGAACCATCCTTGCATCCCTGGAATAAATCCAACTAGGTCAGGATGTATGATCTTCTTGATGATCCTCTGTATTCTGTTTGCTAGTATCTTATTAGGGATTTTTGCATCTATATTCATTAAGGAGATTGGCCTGTAGTTCTTTTTAGTTGTGTCTTTCCCTGATTTGGGAATCAAAGTGCTACTTGCTTCCAGGAATGAATTTGGAAGTATTGCTTCCCTTTCAATTTCATTGAAAAGTTTGAAGAGTAATGGCAGTAGTTCTTCTCTAAATGTCTTGTAAAATTCAGCAGTGAATCCATCAGGACCTGGGCTTTTCTTTGTTGGTAAATTTTTAATTACATTTTCAATTTCACTGACTGTAAGTGGGGTGTTTAAAATGTTTTTATATTCTTCATTCAACTTTGGTAATTCGTAAGTATCTAGAAATCTGTCCATTTCTCTGTGTGTTAGAGTACAGGTTCTCCTCTGGCTTTCTGTTGGATCTGTTGTGACTTCACCTTTTTCATTCCTAATTGCATGGACCTGAGCCTTTTCTTTCCTTTTTTTTGGTAACGTTAGCTAAGGGTTTATCAATTTTATTTATTCTTTCAAAAAACCAACTCTTTGATTCATTTATTTTTTTGTATCATTTTATTAGTTTCCATTGCATTGATTTCTCCTCTAATCTTTATAATTTCTTCTGTTGTTCGAGCTTTGGGTTTTTCTTGCTCTTGTTTTTCTAGGAGTCTAAGATTCATCATTAGGTTATTTGAGCTCACTCTTGTTTTCTTACTGTGGGCATTCAGTGCTATGAATTTTCCTCATAGAACTTCTTTCATTGTGTCTCATAGATTCCTGTATGTTGTATTGGCATTTTCATTTATTTGTAAAAACTGTCTGATTTCTTTAATTTCCTCTATGATCCATTGATTGTTCAGGAGAGTGTTGTTCAATTTCCATCTGTTTGTGAAGTTCCTTTGGTTTCTTGTGCTATTGATCTCCAGCTTGATTGCACTATGCTCTGATAATATACAGGGAAAAAGTTCGATTCTTTTGCATTTATTCAAACCTGTTCTGTAAGCTAGTATGTGATCTATCTTGGAGAATGACCCATGTGCAGCCGAAAAAAATGTATATTCTGATTTTGTGGGGTGGAACACTCTATAGACGTCTATTAAGTCCATGCATTCAAAAGCTTGGTTCAGTTCTAGTATTTTGTTGTTGATTTTTTGCCTAGATGATCTGTCTATTTGTGAAAGTGGGATATTTAGAT